TGATGATGACGATGATAAGGATGAGGATGATCCCGATGATGGTGGTGGTGGTGATGGGACAATGATGGTGATGATCATGAGGCTGACAATGGTGATCATCATGGTGATGCTGTGGATGATGATGAGGATGCTGATGGGGATGAGGATGATGGTGATGATGACAATGGTGCTGAGGATAAGAATCAGGAGGATGAGGATGAGGATGATGATGTTGGTGGTGGTGGTGATGTTGATGAGTACGACGCTGATCATGATGAGGATTGGGATGAGGATGAGGATGATGATACGTATGAGGATGATAATGAGGATGCGGATGAGGATAAGGATGCTGATGCTGATGCTGATGCTGATGATGACGATCATGGTGGTGATGATGATGGTGATGATACTGACGATGATGGTCATGATGAGGATGAGGATGAGGATCGTGATGATGAGGATGACGATGATGCTGAGGATGACGATGATGGTGGTGGTGATGATGATGGTGAGGATGGAGTTGGTGATCATGATGAGGATGACGATGATAAGGCTGGGGATTAGGACGCGGATGATAATGATGGTGATGCTGATAATGTTGAAGCGGAGGCTGATCCTGAGGACGACGACGATGACGATTACGATGACGATGACGATGATGTTGACGATGAGGATGAGGATTCGGATGAGGATGAGGGGGATGAGGATGATGAGGATGCGGATGCGGATGAGGATGTTAGGACGAGGATGAAGATGATGATGATGATGATGATGATGAGGCGGTTGAGGATGAGGATTAGGGTGATGATGATGATGTTGATGATGGTGATGATGATGATGTTCATTGTGGTGGTGATAGTGATGATGATGATGATGCGGATGATGCTCATGATGAGGATGCGGATTGAGGATGAGGGCGAGGATTATGATGATGATGATGGTGATTACGATGAGGATGAGGATGAGGATGAGAACAAGGATGACGCTGAAAATGAGGATGATGATGATGATGATGGTGGTGAGGATGATGGTTATGGTGATGATGGTAATGGTGATGATTGCGATGCTGATCATGATGCTGTTGATGATGATGATGATCATGAGGATGAAGACGATGAGGATGAGACTGGTGATGCTCATGATGATGAGGAGGATGCTGATGACGATGGCGAAGACGATGTCGATGATGATGGTGATGAGGAGGATTGTGAAGAGGATGAGGATGGTGATGATGAGGATGATAATGATCAGGACAATGAGGATGATGCGGATTGGGATGAGGATGAGGATGAGGATAGGGACGATGATGGTGAGGATGAGGATGAGGATGAGGATGTTTATGATCATGGTTCTGATGGGGATGAGGATGTGGATGAGGATGAGGCTGAGGCTGAGGCTGATGAGGATGAGGATGCGAATGAGGTTGGTGAGGATGAGGATGAGGAGGACGATGATGATGATGATGGTGATGGTGATTATGATGGTGACGATGGTGATGATGATGACGATGATTGATGATGACGATGATGCTCATGACGATTATGATCCTGATGATGATGAGGACAGTGATGATGACGATGATGAAGCTGGTGATGATGATGAGGTCGTTATTGATGATGATGATGATTACGGTGACGATGATGAGGACGATTATGATGATGATAAGGATGTGGATGAGGACAAGGATGAGGATGATGATGACGATGATGATGATGATTTATCATGATGATGGTGGTGATTACGATGATGGTGTTGATGATGGAGATGACGATGGTGATCATGATGAGGATGAGGATGGTGATGATGATTTTGACGATGGTGATCATGATGATGATGATGCTGATGCTGTTGGTGGTGGTGACGATGATGATGATGCTGATGCTGATGATGATGGTGGTGTCGTTGCTGATGCTGATGATGATGGTGCTGATGATGATGATGTCGCTGCTGATGATGATGACGATGATGCTGACGACGACGATGACGATGACGATGATGATGATGATGATGATGATGACGATGATGTGATGATGATGGTGGTGGTGGTGGTTGTGATTATGATGATGATGATGATGATGATGATGATGATGATGGCGATGATGTGCTCCACTATTTCCAAGCTGACCTTCGGTAGCAAATCATGGGAGCCTGGTGCATCATTGCAATTCCGTCTCCAGGTTCCACCAGAGGTGATTAGGGCCTGGTCGTCGATGAGACAGCGCCGATTTAGCGTCGATTGGCTTGGGCTTGCGTCGATTGGCGTCGAGGAGCGTTGATTCACAAGAGCCAACAAGATGGTATGGCAGGCTCATTTGATGTTCAACCGAAGTGCCCAGGATGTTTCAAGATCCCCCATTCTGCCGCACGGGCTCCAGAAACGTGGGCCGCTAGATTTAGGTCGGGCGTGTCCCTCTACAGGAGGAATATTCAAAATGATACCGGGGAACCAAAACAATCATAGTCTATTTAGGGTTACGTATAGGGTTATGGGGCTGTGAGGGCTTCAGGGTCATAGGGCTATAGGGCTATAGGCACATAGAGCATTAGGGCTAGAAGGCTATAGGGCTACAATGCGTTAAGGCTATAGGGCGACTGGGCTATAGGGCTGTAAGGCTATAGGGCTATGGGGCTTGAGGGCTATAGGGCTACAGGGTTATAGGGCCATAGGGCTACAGGGCTACAGGGCTATAGCGCTATTGGGCTATAGGGGTGTAAGGCTGTAGGGCGAGGCAAGCTCTGATTTGGAAAATAATTGAAAATAGTCTTGGGACGATGTTTTGACTTTTTATGGGCATTTTGAAACTCTTTGAACTTTCCTCCGCAATCCGCCTGTAGGAGGACATGCCCGACCTAACGCTAGATGCTTCAGAAGCTCCCTGGGACGGGCACGGGCAGGTGGGTTCCAGCATCTCTTGGGCTCCAGACTCCAGGCCAGGATGATAGTTCGGAGCCCCGAGGTATGCGATGGCCAGGTCAAGGAGTCCCCCTCCAGCCTTCTTATCCTCCTCGTCCTCCTCGTCCTCCTCGTCCTCCTCGTCCTCGTCCTCGACTTCCTCCTCGGAGCTCCAGGCCAGGGCAGGGGTGGTCAGGGATGCGTCCTGGTTCGGGCATCCCGCCGTCCGTCGCGCCGGAGTCTCCCCTGCATTGCACTCAGCCCGAGGTTTTCCGGATCACATTTCTGCCAAGCACAGGCGTAATCTTGAATCTTGAACCAAGTGGTTCCAGTGTTTTGTTAAATCGCCTCTCTTAACCACAGAAAGAGCCCGACCTGGGCCAGGTCTATCCCAGATAATCCGTACCCAAGTTAATGATGATGATGATGATGATGATGATGATGACGATGACGATGCTGATACTGATTATGATGATGATGATGATGGTGATGATGGTGATGGTGATGGAGATGGAGATGGTGATGTTGAAGACGAAACTGATAATGACCATGATGATGATGACGGCGATACTGATGATGACGACGATGGTGATGATGATGATGATAATGATGACGATGGTGATGGTGATGGTGATGGTGATGGTGATGGTGATGGTGACGACGACGACGGTGGTGATGATGACGATGATGCGGATGATGCTGATTATGATGATTATGATGCTTATGATGATGATGATGATGATGATGATGATGATGATGATGATGGTGATGGTGATGGTGATGGTGATGGTGATGGTGATGGTGATGGTGATGGTGATGGTGACGACGATGATGATCACGATGATGATGCTGATGGTGATGATGATGATGATGACGGTAATGTTGATGAATGATGATTAAGGTGGTGATGATGGTGTCTGTGATGATGTTGGCGGTGATAATGTTGATGAGGATGATGAGGACGATGGTGTGGATGATTGCCTTGATGATGATGTAGATGATGAAGGTGAAGATGTCGATGATGGTGGTGATGATGATGATGATTACGACGTTGATGATGATGATGATGATGATGATGATGATGACGATGATGATGACGACGATGATGATGATGATGATGGTGCCGATGATGACGACGATGACGATGCTGATAATGCTGATGATGCAGATGGCGCTGCTGTTTTTTATTGATGGTGATGACGATGCTGATGGTGCTGATGATGATGTTGATAATGCCGATGATGAGAATGATGGTTATGCCGATGGTGATGGTGGTGATGGTGATGATGGTAATGCTGCTGATGGTGATGATCATGATGCTTACGATGCTGATGATGATGTGGGTGATGATGATGCTAGTGATGATGGTGGTGGTGGTGGCGATGCTGCTGATGATGATGACCACGATTTCCAAGGTGGCTGGAATTCCCAAGATCCCCGAGTGTTCCGCACAGGCTGCAGAATCGAGGACCGCAATCTGTTCCGGAGGATTCATGACCGCATCCTGAGCCAATCGCATCATGGTATCATTCTCGTCCTAGGGTTAAGTCGGGCCTGTCCCTCTCCAGGGCCAATGTTCAAGACGTTAAAAAAGTCTGGGGGTTTGTTGCACCATGTTTGACAATGCTTGTGCATATGTTTGGCTATTTTTAAAATTTTCGTCCACAATCCGCCTGTAGGGGGACACGCCCGACCTTCTCCTAGGGGCACGTGGGGGGGGGGCGAGAGGAAGGACCCTCTAGGATGCCACGGGGCTCCTGAGAGAAGGCAAGCGGCGTCTTGCAAGGCTCCGCAGGCCTCCGAGTAGGCCTCCGTGAAGCTGGGAGGGCCTCCAGGGTGCCGCCTGCCTTCCGAGCAGACCCGCCCTCCTTCCGAAGGCCACCCCCTCGCGCCACCCCTCTCGGATGCAACTCCTGGGAGGTCAAATTCTGTTTGTGCCCTGGTCCGAAATCCGGCTTAATCCCGCTTCATTTGGCTCCGTCCCGCTTGATCCCGCTTTTATCCGGCGTAATCCGAGGGCCCGCTCCGGTATAAGAGCCCCCCAATGGGGCTTTTAATCATCTCGAATCTCTCCGACGAAAACCTCCCAGCAGTTGCCCCCTAAACCCCTCCGTGCGCGCCGCGGCAGGCACGTCGCGGAGGGCTACGCGAGCGACGACGAGGGCGGCGTCGCCCCCGCGCGGCCGCGCGGGGGCTTCGGGGCGCTGCCCGGGGACGGGCCCCCGCGGCGCCGGCTCTCGGCCGAGGAGGTCCTGGACTACGGGGTGCGGCAGGCGTCTTCCGGGCCGCGCGGGAAGAAGGCGCGCTACCTGGACGCCTTCGGGGCCCCGCAGGCTCGGCATCGCTCGGCAGTGTGAATTTTCTCTCGGCGAGGACCGTGAATCACCACCCACCAAACCACCCCAACCCAACCCGAAGGCTCAGATTTGCTCTCCATTTCCAGTGGGGGGGGGTCGCGAAACATCGAAAAAACACGTATGGAACCCTTACCCCCCCCAACCCGAAATTCGGGCCTTCGGGTTGGGTTGGGGTGGTTTGGTAGATAGCCAGTGAAGGAGCATCCTGGATCATTTCGCAGATAAAAACACGCACGGAGCCGACACGTGCACGGGAAATGGACGCTCGAGCGATGGCAAGCAGGGCCAGCGGCTGTCGAGGGCTCAGACGAAGCCCAGGGGCACCTACGAGCACCATTGCCGGCTGCTGAGCTGGCTCCCGAGGGCTGCGGCCGCGAAGGCCTCGGTGGGGTTCAAGACGGACCTGGTGCTGCTGCAGGAGAGCCACCGCTTCCTGCGCTCGGCGGAGGACGACGACGGCTCCTGGGAGGCCAAGCTGGCGGGTAGGTACTACGAGAGGCTGTTCAAGGAGTACGTCATCTGCGACCTGGCGGGCTACAAGACGGGCGACGTGGGCTTCAGGTGAGAGACGCAGAAAAGCGGGGTCGTCGACTCCAACATGGGCGCGTACAGCGGAGACCCATGCCAAGAAACACTTTGCTTGCCTCCCGGGTGCCCTGGGTTTCTTGGGTTTCGATGGTTTTGCCCTTGGACAGCGTGACGGTCCCACACCAAAAATCGATGGGCGTCTTGTGGTCTCAGGGTTGGGTTTCTTGTGGCAGGTTTCTTGTGGTCGGACCCCTACTGCAAGCTGCCCGCGTAAGGTCGCGCGTAAGCGCCGTCGTTCCCAATGCAGCGCGCCACGCTGGCGGGCCGCGTCAGCCGCGGCGTAAGGCTGCTGTGTCGTCTCGCGTGAGATGCGTGTGTATTTCGTCGTGCAGGTGGCGCACGGAGCGCGAGGTTGTGCAGGGCAAGGGGCAGTTCTTCTGCGGGCAGCGGCGTTGCGAGGGCCGCGAGGGCCTGAGGAGCTACGAGGTTCAGGAAGGGCAAATTATGCACAAACGTACACGCCAGTCGCTGAAAGTAGGTATTTCTGGAATCCCTGATCCCAATCTACTTCAAGCGCCTTCCTACTTCAAGAATCGACATGCTTTTGTTGTGTGTTGTTATTCTCTGGGAGGACCTGGACCCAATCAACTAGATCCGCTTTCCTACTTCATGTTTCTACCTACTTTCTCCGACCGACGTGTACAGAACAACATTGTCTTTCCTTGAAACCTGGGACACGACGGGGAAGAGGGAAGTCCAGGGGAGAGGTGAAACAAATGGTCGTCCTGGGAGGTGTGGCGATCTGCGCGTGCGTCTCCCTGGGCCCCTCTCGAGGTCGACTTCAGGTACAGGGAGGCCGGCCAGAAGAAGCGGGCGCTCGTGAAGGCCCGGCTCTGCGAGCCGTGCGCGTACAGGTTGCATTACAGGCGGTTGAGGTCACCAGAGAGATCAACCCACCCCGACCTGGAGGGTTTCTCCGAAGGGCTCAGGCGACCCGTCCTCCTCCTCCTGCTCCTCCTTCTACTCCTCCTCCTGCTCCTCCTCCCTCCTCCTCCTCCCTCCTCCTCCATCTCCTCTTCCCCCTCCCCCTTCCCCTCCCCTTCCCCTCCCCTCTCCTCCTCCTCCTCTCCTCCTCCCCCCTCCTCCTCCTCCTCCTCCTCCTCCTCCTCCTCCTCCTCCTCCCCCTCCTCCTCCTCCTCCTCCTCCTCCTCCTCCTCCTCCTCCTCGGGTCGCCCACGGCCCCGGGGGAAACCGTGCACCCCGACCCCCGCAACTCGTGCAATTATTCAGACGCGTTTGCCAAAGGGCGTCGCTTGTCGTGGTGCCCATTTCCGGCAGGCACAGGACGAGGATCAGTTGCGTCAGATCGTCTTGGGGCGCTCTGGAACGGCCGCGGCGCCCGATGCAGTCTCTAGTCTCGCCGAGTTGCTGAGATTCCCCACCTGTACGATCACCCTTCGGGTGAGAAGGCGGTTGGGGAAAGGACCAGCTGAGGACATCAGCGACGATTGTGATGATGGCAATGCTGGTGATGCGCTCACGAGTTGGCGACGATGCAAGACGGCGATGTTGACGAGAATCGGGGCACCTAGGGATACCACCGGGACACCATCGGGACACCGACGACGAGACACCGACGGGACACCACGACGGGACACCACGGTGGAACACCGACGGGACACCGAAGGGACACCGACGGGACACCACGGCGGGACACCCTTGGCCAATGCCCGCGGACACCGACGGGACGGGTCACCACGGCCTGAGACCACTGCGGGACACACCGGGCCACGCCGGTCCACCATAGGGACGGTCTTTTGTCTTGACCCGCCCTTAGCCCACGCAGCTTCACCACGCCCGCACGCACGACACGAACCCGCTCCCGGTTTCACTTCGATCGCAATCCCCAACCTCCGATTTGATTCCCTTCCTAGAGATCTGGCGTCTCGATATGGTGTCTCGATGTGGGCCCCCGTCTTCTCGACCACTTCCCTGGCACCGCTTTTTCATCACGAGTCATTGTTTGACATTCCCGAGGCCCTTTGAGGACCACGAGAGGTCGCCAACGATGAAACATGTGTGTGTCGATTTGTTCGAGACGACAGATGTCGATCCTTCCGTCAGCTTAGCAATACAGTCATGAGGGTGGCTCCTTTGCCTTTTCTGAGGAAGCGGCACCGCCGACCTGGTGCGGCGCCCGAGGATCGGGTCGGACGAAGGGGGGGGGCATTGGAGAATTGAAGGGACCCATTGGGACACAAATGAATCGACAGTAACTCCAGGATATACTATTGAAAGAAGAATCGGGCCGAACGAAAGGGGGGGGGATAGGGAAAGGGGGGGTTACGACATCTGCTGAATGCAGCTGGTTTCGGCCCCGCCGCAGGTCCCATTCCTCGATACATGAACGCCTCCCGGCGCCGGGGTGCGCTGGGAAATCAGTTACGTGAGCTGATTCTCTACCATACCCTTTGCTATACCCCCCCATTCGTTCCTCCCGTGTTTCTCGTCCTTTCTATTTCCCTTATCTAAGACGACTGCGGCGAATCACCGCCGCCGCCGCCTGCCTTGTGGAAGCGCCCATGCGGCCACACGTCGGGCCGAAGTCTGGCCTATCACTATTTGACGATGTGTTCCCTCAGCGATGGTGGAACCCATCGGGGGAACATTGGGGATAGCGCGCAGAAGTCATGCCGCGGTAAACACGACAAGCCCCGCTCGACGTATGGACTCTGGCATTGGGTAGGGGCTTGTCGCCTAGCGACTCGCTGCCCCGCCGACGGGACCCCCGCAAGCCCATTGTTCACCTGACTCCGCGGGGGGCTGCACTGGCCTTGCTCACCTGCCAGCGGTTTTAAGCCGTTTACTCATGCTTTGAGCTGCTCGCTCATACTACATAACGATCATCTCTGTTGGCACAAGGAACAAATTAAAATAAAAATAAATTCAGAAATAAAAATACGGCAACAAATAAAATCAGAAATAAAAATAATGCAAACAAATAAATCATCAAATAAAAAATAAAACAACAAAGGGATCAATAATTGTTTTGTGAATGGACCAAAGCGCATGGGTGAACGTGTCACAGAGTCCCACCACCGCGTAGTGGTTGTGTTGATTGAATGAAGGTTGACGTTTCTATGGTGTTTGACATATTTGCCGTTCGTAGCATCGCCTCGTCCAGCCGCGGAATGAGATGCATACATACATACACTTGATTTTCATCATACGGCTCTGGAAGTAACATGCAGCACGCCGCATTCAATTTTCGGCTCAAGCAACGCAGCGCTCGCGCGCGATGGGTGCCTGATGACTGTCCGAAGCCGATTGTATGGTTTTTGATGCATTCGTCGTCCACATGACCGCATTTGAAAGGCAGCGGGTTCTAGCAATTCGGTTTTTGGAGTTCACATGCAGCGCGACGCATTGCACTCACTCAAACAACCACATGCGCGCGCGACAATAGTCCAATGGGCGTTTATCGTTTGTTTTGTTGTGTGTCTATTTCTAGTTCATATGTTCGCCTTCTGGAGACAGGGAATGACATTCTACGTTGGGGTCGTTTGCGCCATTTGGTTTTGGAACTAACATCCACCATTTGGTATTGGATTCATATTCGAGCCCAGCCATGGTGGTTACCCGACGGGTGTTTGCCACGCCTAGCGGTCCACATTCATGTATAGGTTATGAGCGCTTCTTTTATGCAACGGAGTGACATTCTACATCGGGTCATGTTGGGTTTTCGCTGCTGTGCGTTGGTCAGGGGTGAGGAACGCCGAGAGAGAATGGAAGGGGCAGTGGAAGAAGAGGAAGAAGCTGGAGGAGGCATGGAGGGAAGGATGGAGGGGAAGATCGGGTAGGAGGAGGAGGAGGAGAAGGCAGGGGATGATGATGAGGAGGAGGAGGAGGAGGAGTTTGAGGAGAATATGAAAAATCATCGGATGGTGGATCTTTGATCACTGAGTCATTTTTCTTCTCCGTTGTTGCGCAGCTTGCCGCTGCCCCGCCCGTCGTTAGCAATCGTTTTGTCGTTCGGTCTTTCGCAGGCGGCTGACCGCGAGGCGCGCGATGGGGCGATGAAAAAAAAAGGAGGAGGAGGGGGGGGGAGGAGGGGAAGGGGAAGGAGGAGAGAGGAGGGAAGAGGGGGGGGGGAGGGGGGAGGGAGGAGGAAGGGAGGGGGAGAGTCAGAAGAGAGAAGGCCTCTGTGCCAGCGCCATCCCATCCTGTCGGAGCCATCTTTGGATCTTGGGTCGCCGTTTAATATCGGCGTCTTTGCAGTCGTGCTTCGCCGTCGCGTGTTCGTATGTCGTTCTTGTGGCGTTGTCGTTTCGTCATGTCATCGTCGTCGCTTGTTGTTGGTGTTTGTTTGTTGGTTTCCTGGCGTCTGTTTGTCGCCGTCGCTGTCTTCGATCTTCGACGTTGCAGTGTCGGGCAGTGGCGACGGCACCTCCACCGCTTTTTCTTCCTCTCATTCCTCCCCCCCCTATTCAATAGCTATTCCACTTTCCACTTCTCGTCCAAGCTGCTGGACCTCATATTCCTCTTCTTCTTGCGGCTCTCGCTCCTCTTCCTGCTCTTCCTCCCTCCTCATCCCTGCCCAATCCTCCCCCATCGATCTCTTCCTCGTCCCCCCCTCGTCTCGTGCCCTCCCGTTTCGTGTCCTCATTTTCATGTTCATCGCCGTCTCCGTCGATCCATGGATGGTCACATTTCGGGATGAGAGTCAGGTTCATAGTCGCCGTCGGCTCGTTGCTGTCGCCATCGTAGGTTGTCGTAGGCCGTAGGCGTCGTCGCCCCATTGTCAGTCGGTCGGCGTCCGTCGTCCTTGTCGTCTGCTGGGCCTTAGAGTCGTTGTCTTCGTTGTCGGTGCTGCTGCTGCTGCCGAGCCGCCTGCCGCTGTCTGGCTCTGGCTCTGGCCTGGCTGCCGGCGTCGCCGGCCACGGGCGCGGGCCGCGGTCGTGGAGGCGCTCCGACCTGAGGATATCCCTGCGGCGGGGCCCGCCGCCATGAGATGAGAAGGAGGAGGGCGGCCGCCGCCGGCGGCGCCGCGCGGAGATGCTCCGAGTTGAGGATATCCTTGCGGCGGAGCCCGCCGCCGGGAGGGGGAGGAGGGCGGCCGCGGCCGCCGGCGGCGCGAGGGCCCAAGCCTGGCGCGCCAGGTACGCTGGGCAGGCCCGCGCCTGGCGCGCCAGGTACGCTGGGCAGGCGCAGGTGCTCGAGCCATTGCAACAGGGTTTCAATGAGGCCGTGCGGCCCCTGCGGTTCGGCGACGCGGCGGGGTTGGAGGCGCGCGGGGATCGGGGATCGCGAGGACGAGGACGAGGGTGAGGGATGAGGGATGAGGACGACTGCGGCGCGGGGGTGAGGGTCGGGGGGATGTGGATGAGACGGAGGGCCACTGGGGGAGGTGGTGGATAGGGCGGAACTGCATATCAGAATACATGCCGCATGTATTCTGATATGCAGTATTGTTGTTCACCATGCCAGTGTCCTCCCTTTTTTCCTGATCTTTCTCTTGCTCTTGATCTCCTTTCTCCTGATCAGGTCTTGAATCCCCATTCTCCTGGCATTTTTGTCGTTGGCTCTTGGCCGTCCTTTCTCCTCGCCCGTCTCGAGACATACCTTCCCCTCTCTGTTGCTATTCCGTGCTCTTGACCTTTATCGCGGCCTTTCTCTGGACCCTTTGCTTGGTCTCTCTTGCCGGTTTCACTTGTGATATCTTGGTCGCGCTCGCCCCCCCCCCCCCTTTGCGCCCGCCCGTGCAGGCCGACAACGACGATGGCAGACGTCGCCCGAACCAGTACCGTAGTGAGGGCGTCCTCAGCGTTGCTTGGGCGTCCTTGGCCAAGGATTGCAACAGAGGCGAGGGCGTGCAGGCCCCGCGCCCCGCGCCACCCGCATGCTTCGTTTCCTGAGTGTCTGAGGTTCTGAGGTCTTCCCTAGCATTCTCCTCCTCGTCATGTACCTCGTCATTTTTCCTCTCCCCCCCTTCGTGTAATCTCTCATTTTGCCTTCCGCGTCTTGCAGTCCTTTTTCCATCATAAGTCATTCCTCTCGCTCCTACTGTTGACGCTGATCCCCCTCATATTCTTCATTGTCCTTTTCTCTTGCCATCTTCTCAATATTAGCCTTCCTTCAGCCTGGTGCCATGCTGTTGCTCCTCTCGGCAGCCACCGCATCCTACTCCTCTCCTTTCCTCCTCCCTCCTCCTCCTCTTCTCTCGTCCTCTATCGTTGCACCAGTGCTCTGATGATCATGAGATAATGAGCCGTTGTTGTGACGTTGTAGTTTCCGCCCTCCCGAGCCCTGCTCGTTTCTCGCCCGTCGCCCCGCGCCTCGCCCACCGCTTCGCCCTTTGCCTGCCCGCCCCCCCCCTGCCGCCAGGGCAGCGGCCACAACCAGGGCATCGTGAGCGTTGTGAGCGCGGTGGCCCACGAGGCCCAGGCGGCGTGCCTCCAGTCGGTCTTCCAGGACGCCCTTGAGTCCAAGGCCATGCCGGTCATCAAATTGTGGTACGATGCTACTCCGAGCCGCGTGAAGTTTGGGAAGTTACAGGACCGCGTCTGTTCTTTTTGTTGCATCTACTCCCGTCGACTCCTTGCTGCCATGTCTTGCCTGCGCGCCTCGCCCCGGCATGGCAGGTCCAGGTGGTTCCTCCGCCTTCCAGTGCCCGCCGCGCCATCGTTCTCCCTTTCGCTCCTCCTCCAAGCAGACCAATCCTCTCTGCCTCCCTCCGCGCCCCCCTCCCTCGCCCACCCTTGCCCTTCGTCGCCCCTCCGCCCGCGCGCCGATCTCAGGAACAAGTTCTCCCCCACGCACGGTATGCGATGCAGGACGAGAAGGGCCAGTGGAAGGTCGTGGCGCACGACCGCTACATCAAGGCCTTCGGAGCGAAGAGGTTGCTCAGGCGGGGGGTTGGGAGTGCGGGGTTTCGATGGTTCCTCCCCTCCCCGCCCCTCCCCCTCCTCTTCCCCCCTCCTCCTCCTCCTCTTCCTCCTCCTCCTCCTCCTCTTCCTCCTCCTCCTCCTCCGCCCTCATCCCTCCTCCCTCCTGCTGTCTCGTTGCGCTCGCGAATCATGAGTAATCCATGGTGCTGTGTCCACTCTGTCTGCCCACCGTTTCCGTCTAGTTGGTGCCTTGCTTCTTTGCGATAGTCTTCGCGTGAATCATTTGTTGATGCATTTGGCTTTTGTTGGGGGGGC